GGGGGGGGGGGGGGGGGGGGGGGGGGAGGGGGGGGTGTGCGCGTGTTTGTAACCAAGAAGCTCTCACACAGATGGCAGCTGAAGACAAGCTTAGTCTGATAGGATAGGGGTGCTTTTGTGCCACCTGTTTCCTAAAAAAGCCTTTGCCATCCATTTGGGAAACAAAGGGAGAATATAGATATGGATGACATTTTCCAGCCTTGCAACTTGCTCCCGAGACTGATGTACTCTCTCCCACCCCAACAAGGGAAAATCGCTTTCTTGGAAACAGTATCACCAGCTTGTTTGAAAACCAGTCCTCCAACACTCTTTCTTATCATGGTTGGCTCCACTTTCAGCTCTTATAAATAGCTCTACTTGACTATAGCACTTTCTTGTCACTCACTGCCCAAAAGGGCGGGGGGTAGGGGGAAATACATTCATAAATAGAACATATATCAAGGAATCTTCTGGAGGTTTGGGGAGGGTTTAATGAGGGGCCTTTGGCAGGAAACCAGGCTTAGAGTTGTTAAGTGGACCTCTCTTTCAGAAATCTTTTGCAAACACCAGTCATAAGCACCATGCAAACCACTTCACATTGCTCTAATGCTTTGAAATACCCCTGTATCCTAAAATCTATTATTGTACCATCATGACCTGGAAAAATACTGTTTTGTTGTCTTTTCTCTGCCTAGCAGGACATTTTGCACGGGGAACACCTCTAATTTAGTCCCTGCTTTTTCTAGGAAGAGATTTTCCTATATCTTGCAAAACTTTAAAAAATAATAATAAATTCACAGCTAATACTCAGAACGTTTGTTTTGTTTTGAACTATTTTAATAATAAGAGTCAAGCTTTCCCGCATGCTTTCAGGCACACAACTCATAAAGCTGTGACCGTCCCATATCTTGATTTACTTCCTTCTGATATGATTCCCATTTCAGTAATGCAAACTGAACAAGTGCCCAATCATTGGCAAGAACTGTTCAAGATGAAGATCTTTTCAAGAAGCTCAATGTTTTCTTTGCATGAGATATACTTCTTGCACCAAGGCCTCCAGATGGTATAGACCACCAGACTGGCGGTGGTACTGAAGTCCAATACATCTGGAGGGCACCAAGTAAGGGAAGCATGGTATAGGCCCTGACTTTAGCGCCTCCTGTGTATCCATTTCAGGTTTGCCATTGTTCCAAGGATAAACCCTATCTTGTAGTCTCTTAGCCTAACTTTGCCTCTATCCTTTTTTGAGAGGTTTGGAGATAGACTAATAACTTCTTTTAAATTTTTGACCAGTGTGGTGGCAGCAATAAGTGCATTGACGGCAGAGTCTATGTCAAATTTTGAGTTTATTTGCTTTTGATTTAATGCATACCCTGCTTTTTCATTCACAGAAAGCTCAAGGGAGATAACAACATTGTGGGGTTTTTTTATTTTTTGTTTTAAAAATAACTCCAGGAAGCACAACAAAGACTGAACAACAAAGTATAAAAACAAGACAATTTAAGACACATTAAAATATGTGAATACTATATAAATTCTCCTAAAATCACTAACAGTTCAAGCCTGGCTGATGAGCCGAGTCTTAAACTGCTGTCCTAAAGGGAGAACAGAATGCGTTTTC